TTTTAGTAGAGACGGGGTTTCACCATGTTGACCAGGATGGTCTCGATCTCTTGACCTCGTGATCCACCCGCCTCGGCCTCCCAAAGTGCTGGGATCACAGGCTTGAGCCACCGCGCCCGGCTTGCACATACTCTTAAACAGTCCTTGAAGGCCAGCTGCTGCATTGCAGTCATATTTCCTTGGGCTTGCATATGCTATTCTACACAGCACTCATGTGTTACCAGCAGATAAGCTTCTGCTAAAGTTGTTTGCAGAGGATTCAGTATTAGACCCTGCTTCTCCTCTCTGTCATACCTCATGGTTGTGGCCTTTACCTCTTGAGCTCTCCCACATTCTTGTAATCTTTATAGCGTAGTATTGCTAAGCAGGCTCATCTGGAATGTGAACCCAACTCTACTGCCATGCAAACATTCCCATAGACTTGTTCCTGGGTTTGTCATACACACATTTGTATAGGGGCTGCCCCCTCCCACCATAGTTAATGTGCACTTCACTAGCACTTCTTGCTTTTAGGTTGTTGGCATAGAGTGGTGGATGAGGAGGCACCTTCTGAGCAGAGCATTTCTTTAAAAGGAGTGACCCAACTCAGGACTTCCAAGGCAGGTCTTTCTCCCCAGAAGGCCCACCCCTGTGAGATATGTAGCCTGGTCTTGAGAGACATTTTGCTTTTGGCTGGGCCCTAGAGCACCCATCATAGGCAGAAATTATACAGGGGTGTGCCATGTAAGAAGTAATTGTATTTCATTTCATTGCAGATGTTCATTACCAGAAACAGCACCTTAGAGAAAAACATTTCAGAAGCAATGTGGACAGAGCCTTGTTTGTGAAGACCTGCATATTCCATGTGTCAGGGGAGACTTCCACATGCAAAGAAGTTGGGAAGGACTTCCTGGCCAAGTTGGGATTTCTCCATCAACAGGACACTCACACTGGGGAGCAACCAAATAGCAGAAGCGGTGGGGCTGTCAGTCACAGAGGAAAAACTCATTACAGTTGTGGAGAATACGTAAAAGCATTCAACCGTAAACACTCACTTGTTCAGCAGCAGAGAACCCTCACTACAGAAAAGTGTTACATGTGCAGTGAATGTGGGAAATCCTTTAGCAAAAGCTACAGCCTCAATGACCACTGGAGAGTTCACACTGGAGAAAAGCCTTATGAATGTCAAGAGTGTGGAAAGTCCTTTAGGCAAAGCTCTAGTCTCGTTCAGCACCGGAGAGTTCACACTGCAGTACGGCCTCACGAATGTGGTGAATGTGGAAAATTATTTAGCAACAAGTCCAACCTCATTAAACATCGGAGAGTTCACACCGGGGAAAGGCCATATGAGTGCAGTGAATGTGGGAAATCCTTTAGCCAAAGGTCTGCACTCCTTCAGCATCGCGGAGTTCACACTGGGGAGAGGCCTTATGAGTGCAGTGAATGTGGGAAGTTCTTTACATATCATTCCAGTCTCATAAAGCACCAGAAAGTTCATAGTGGATCAAGACCTTATGAGTGCAGCAAATGTGGGAAGTCATTTAGCCAAAACTCTAGCCTCATTGAACACCATAGAGTTCACACTGGAGAAAGGCCTTATAAGTGCAGTGAATGTGGGAAATCCTTTAGCCAAAGGTCTGCACTCCTTCAGCATCGCGGAGTTCACACTGGGGAGAGGCCTTATGAGTGCAGTGAATGTGGGAAGTTCTTTCCCTACAGCTCCAGCCTCCGAAAACACCAGAGAGTTCACACTGGATCAAGGCCCTATGAGTGCAGTGAATGTGGGAAATCCTTTACTCAAAATTCTGGCCTCATTAAGCACAGGAGGGTTCACACTGGGGAGAAGCCTTATGAGTGCACTGAATGTGGGAAATCCTTTAGCCATAACTCCAGCCTTATTAAACACCGGAAAATTCATAGTCGATAAAAGCCTTATGACTGGCAAATATGGAAAATCTGTTAGCACCCTGGAGAAAGTCCTTGAGTACAGTTAATGTTAGAAAGCTTCAACTGAAGGCTGCATCTCATTGAGTACCACAGAGTTCACAAGGGAAAGACACTTTTGATATGTGGAGATGTCCAGTTGCTATTAACAGCTATGAAGGGGATCCCTTATGAGGGTGGCATCAGCCTGAATTGAATCTCCTATATCTGAACATCTCCATAAATTCCAGGTATGTGGGAGCTGCACTGCACCTTTTGCCCTGCCCAGGGCCCATGCCAGATTTATGTCTGCTGATTCTGTAGTGAGAGCCATTTTACCTCTACTGCCTGGCAGGTGGTCACAGTGTACACCATTCACTCACCACAGTGTATTCAGGTAAGTGAACCTTGGTGTTCTCCTGTTATGGGAGGAATTTGTAAATAGCCTAAGCATTTATTCCTTTCTTGTTTTTTTTTTCTCTTTGATAAGTTAGGCCATGGACCTGATCCAGTTTGGCCCAGAGGACTCTACGGGTGACCTGAAAAGAGGGACTACCTATTTCAGGATATTGTTGACCTCACATGACTCTTGATATAGTTTGCCAGCCTCCAAATCACCAACTGTGGGAGCCACCTGCCTCTTATTGCCCTGGTTTGTACAGTAATAAAGGCCTTACTAATCTTGGGGGTTCTAGTCACTGTATGGGTTGGTTTGAAAACAACTGGGTTCTGCTAACATGAAGGGGTAACTTTTTGGGATTCCCAACTGTGTGGCTCAACAGGGACAGGGACAGTGGGATGGCAGAATAGAATTCTCTTTCTAGTTTGAGCCTAGTTTTCATTGCCATTCAAGGCCTCCAAGAAAAAACTGCAGGATATTGACCTAATTTATATCCTGGATGCCATAATATGCTGTGGTTTCAGACGTCAATCTAAGTAGGCAGCAATCCTATGACATCCTTTGGTGCTTCTGAAAGCAACAGGAAATTGTTCTCGTTTGTAAGGAATATTGCATTGTGTTCAGTGCTGTTGGGGAATATCTGTTCCCCAGGTTCTATATGCCTTGATATCCTGAATTCCATAGGGTAGCACCACAGGTGGTAAGATTATAGCAGGAATTGTAATTGTTATAGAAGTTCTGGATTGATATGGAGTGGAAAACTGCAATAAATAGAATGTGCCCCTTTAACAGGGGTTTCCATGATGTTCATCATTACGGCTCTTAAGGATGAGCAGGTACAGAAATTCTCAGGAATTCCAGAATTGTGTATCTTGTGTAGCTACGGTCATTGTCAGAAATTTTATGGAATCCTGTAGCCTCTGGGATGTTCACTTCAAGGTCACTGCTATGCAGGCAGGAAAACAAGGATAGAGAAGAGAGGTCTAGGCCACTGATACAGCCTTTGTAATCTAGCCAACATTTCTGACTCAAGTTGAGTCAGAAATGTTGGCTGGATTACACATTTGGCTGGAAACGGCTTTCACTGTTTACCTATATTTGCTATCACTGAGGCAAAATCCTTTCCCAGGACATGAGGAGAGAGATAGTGGAATCAACTTAAGAGTTGTCAAGCCTGATTTTCCAAAAACAATAGGAAATTCAGACTTTTTTTTTTTTTTTTTTTTTT